AACCTCCTTCCTGAGGGGAGTGGGGCAAAAAGTGTGTGTGCTGGGTGAGTGTGGTCCTTCATGATGCAGGTGGTCCTCTTCCTGCATCTGGAGGTGTAGATGTCTGTGATGGTGGGGAGACTGACTCCAACATCTTCTGTGCAGCCTTCACCACTCTCTGCAAAGCTTTTCTTTCTGCAGCTGTGCAGCCTCCATGCCACACGTTGATGCTGGAGCACAGGATGCTCTCCACTGCACACCTGTAGAAGGAGGTGAGGACTGAGCTTCCAGACCAGCTCGTCTCAGCCGCCGGAGGAAGTAGAGTCTCTGATGAGCTTTCTTGATCAGGCTGGTGGTGTTGTTGCTCCAGCTGAGGTTGTTGTTCAGGTGTACACCCAAGTACTTGTAGCTGGAGACCACTTCCACAGTAGATCCTCCTTGGACAAACCCACCCCTGAACATTCAGCGGCGGGGGGAACGTACCATACCATATACCATACCATTTTATTTATAAAGCACTTAAAACAGCAACAAGGCCAACCAAAGTGCTGTACAGACAGAACAACAGGTAACACACAAAGCAAAATACAAAATGACGTAAATCAGAAATATGGACATAAAAACGATGCAGATAATGACGACTAACCAGTGTGGAGCGTACAGGATCAAAACACAGATCATCTGGTGTTGAAAGCTACTGAATAGTAGTGGGTTTTTAAACGAGACTTGAAAACTGAGAGGGAGGGGGCCTGTCTGACAAGCAGAGGTAACTTGTTCAAAAGTCTTGGTCCTGCTACAGAGAAGGCCCTGTCCCCTCTGCGCTTAAGACGAGTTCTTGGAACTGTGAGGAGCAACTGGTCCGCTGACCTCAGGGGGCATGGTGAGTTTGCTCCGTCTGAAATCCATGACCATCTCCTTCGTCTTCTTCACACTGATGTGAAGGTTGTTCTTCCTGCACCAGCTCTCCAGGTGTTCCACCTCCTGTCTGTAGCTGGACTCATCATTGTTTGTGATGCATCCCACCACCGCTGTATCATCTG